TATATATATATATATATATATACAAACATTTCTAGTTGTGTCTCCAGTGGGCATAGACTATTTGTTTATGTGGAAATTCTAAAAACCTTGTGTTCCCTCTCAAAGTAAAACCTCAGCCAAAACTTTTCTAAACATCTAAAAGCTGAAGGTTAGAGATATCTAAAGTAGATATCCAGATCCCAAAACCAATCTGTCAGCAAATGTTTAGGGCAGGGGTTGGGAAACTTTCTGTGAAAAGCCAAATAGTTAATATTTTAGGCTTTGCAGGCCCATAAGATTTCTGTCTAAACTACTCAACTCTGCTGTTATAGTATGAAAGCAGTTGTACACACATGAGGATTCTGACTGGGCTGTAATAAAGCTTTACTTATGGACAGTGAAATGAAATTTCATATCATTTTTTACATTTCAAAAAATTATTCTTCCTTTGATTTTTTTACCATTTAAAAATGTAAAAACTGTTCTTGATCTACAGACCATATAAAAATAGGCAGAGAGCCTCATTTGGCCTGCAGGCCACAGTTTACCAACCCCTGGTTTAGAGCCATGGGTGAGGGAATGGGGATGAGTAAGGCAGTGAAGGGTGAGGACTTAGGGCAGGAAGATTTCAAAGAAATAGCAAAACATGGTTCCTGCCAATAGGAATATATCATCTTGTTGAGGATATCAAAGATACACACTTGAGGGGCACCTGGGTGCCTCAGTCGGTTGAGCCTCCAACTCTTGATTTCGGCTTAAGTCATGTTCTCGTGTTCGTGGGTTCTCACCTGGCATCCAGCTCTGCGCTGACAGTTCAGAGCCTGCTTGGAATTGTCCCTCTCCCTCTCTGCTCCTCCCCACTCAAGCGCTCTTGTGCACACATGCTCTCTGAAAATAAATGGGTAAACATTTGAAAAAAGATACACACTTGAAATTGCTTAAGAAAAATTGAAGAGCAGCAGAAAAAAAATTAAAGAACAACATAAAGTCAATCAGTACTAATGGTTGCACAATGTGAAACTGATTTTTTAAAAATTTGCTAAGTGGATGCAAAATTTAAAAAAAAAAACCTGGGAAAGAGGCAGAATTAATGAGGAAATAACTTGCTAGAGAAGTTGATCAGTGAGGCTGATGTAAAGTCAGCAGTAGAGAGAAAGAGAAGATATTTTATTCAGTATGAAGTGTTTCTGTGTAAGGCCTTCAACTAGCACGCTGATTGACTTAAGGTGAAATAGGCGCCCATCCTGCCTGAAATTACACTGAATTCTAGTAGAAAAGATCCTCTTAATATAATACAGAAAATGAAATGTAAGAAAGTACAAATCAAGTTCTGTGGAAATTAAGCTGGAGAGATTGCTTCCAGGAAGGGAGTGGGAAAGGCTTTATGTTGACTCCATTATTTGAACCTATTTTCACAGGATGAGAATGAAGTAGATAGGAAGTAACAGGCGCCTGGGTGGCTCAGTTGGTTAAGCATCTGACTTCGTCTCAGGTCATGATCTCGCAATTCATGGTTCAAGCTCTGCATCAAACCATGAACTCTGCTGTCAACAGAGCCTGGAGCCTGCTTTGGATTCTGCGTGTCCTCTCTCTGCCCCTCCCCTGCTCGTACTCTCTTTCTGTGTTTCAAAAATAATAATAAATGTCTAAAAAATAGAAAGTGACAAAACATTCCTGGGAGTGGAAGCAGCATGGATACTTCCACAAATAATGAGGAAACAATCTCCATCAAATCAGGGTGCACAGGTGAATCCCAGCCAGGACTATGGGGTGTCAGGCCAGTTATTAAGCCACATTTGTTCATTGTTAAAAGTTTACTTAAGTTTATTTAAACTTTTCATACTTCAACTTAATTTATAGGCCTAAAATTGTGTTAAGACTACTAAAAAATCTGTTAGCCTTCCTTCTCACATTTTTTAAAGGCATTAAAAAAACTGTATTTTATAGGTGCATATAGGTTTGTTTCTGATTTTTTTAAGATGCAAAAATTAAAAGTATAGACAGTATACTGATAGGAAATGAATCTTTGAAAAACTCGGTTTGCATAAAGAAGGAATCTTGAATTCTCAAGCTTAACTTTCTTATTTTGAAGTTTAGCATGGTCTTTATTTTAGTTAATTTTCTTTGTACGTGGTATTATATAGCCATATATCATTATGGATTAAGGAACTGGTAAGTTATACCGTACATACAGGTTCCAATAAGTATTCAATGCATGGATTCATGATGCACTGGTCTGGCATGTGAGTGCATATTTTAGTACCTTCTGCAGTAGTAGACCATCACTGGCAGAAGCTTATAATAGTTAACAAGTCACGTCTCCCTTGCTAGCACAATGCAACCAGAATATCTGAAATAATTTGGTTTTCCACGTAGAGTGTATATTTCTCAGGCACTCTAACATAGGTCAGAAACATAATAGACTTCCTACTTTCTGCATTAGGTCTCATGGTATTCTATATAGAAAACAACTGTATGCATGTGTCTACTCCACACTTCTGTAGAATTATTTGACATCTTCCGAGTACTGTTCTCAGTACTGAAGTTAAGCTTCATACAAAATATAGGTGGTTGAGGGTTGGGAATATTTCACAAACATGCAAAGGAGTAACTCCAAAACACTGTTTTTATGTAAATATCCATTGCAGCTTCAAAGTGACTCTTTCATTGATTTAAATAAAAGTTTAATGAATTAGTATCTTTAGCTCCAGAAGTGTAAAGGATGTGGGCTTCTCTTTCATTATTTGTTGTTGTACTTAGAGAAAACAGGGTTACACTAAATTACATGAAGATCAAAATTTGGCTAATGGCCTATTAATAATTTTTCTATATTTTTCCACGTGCAAGTCAGACATTCATGACACATTATTTTCAGTCACACAATGTCTTCCTAAAGCTTTAATCACATAAAAATGAATGAAATATATTGTATTTTTTGGTAGTTCTAGATGAAAAAGTCATTTTTCTCAAATTATCCTTTTGTTTTTAGTATGAAATTTACTGTCAAATTGGTTTCCATACAACACCCACTGCTCATCCCAACAGGTGCCCTGCTCAATACCCATCACCCACCCTCCCCTCCCTCTCACCCCCCATCAACCCTCAGTTTGTTCTCAGTTTGTTTGTTTTTTTAATAAATTTTTTTTCAATTTTTTTTATTTATTTTTGGGACAGAGA